GTTGGTTACTACGCCCCTGGGGTTGTATATGTTGCTAACAGCAAGACAATGTGCTCTGCGAACAGCTGGTAGGAGGAAGAGACTAGTCCATGAAACAGACGACGACGACGAGCGAGGAGGCAACATACGAATAATGAAAACTTATTGCTTAGGTCGAAAGGGAAAAAAGTAAAGAGTGTAGCACTCGGCGATCTTGCAACGAATAAGCAAAAGGGACGGGTGCATAAACACAACCGATACGCCAAAGAAAGACAGAGGAGAGAATTGGAGGTTGGCTATAGGCTGGGCGACCAGCTTTTCTCAGACCCATGGCCATCTCCAGAAGACAAATCAGTTACTCTATTACCGGATCTAGGACTGCATTGGCGTCATCCAAGCGTCAAGACGAACAACTGAAAGTGAAAACAACCCCGGTTCAAACGGGCGAGTGGTCAGGTCACAAGGCGATGGCATCCGGCCGCAGGTTGTAGGGCCAATTTCCCAGCTGGGGTTCCAGTGGAGTTCACCATGTGGATGACGGGCATGAGCATAGACGGTGGTAGGACAGGTACTCGACAGAGCGGGCGGAGCGTCTCATTTGTCCACATGCTAATGCTCCTTGCTCGCAGGTTACACAATGATGGAAGGTTCACGGTGGTTCGTTCCCACGTTGCGGGATTGGCATGATGTTGAAAGACTTTGTTCGGTCGGTATGGGGGGTATGGCTCTCACAAGAAACGCCTGCTTCTCTACTTGGAGCACCAAGCACCTCATCGCTCATACCAGATGCTGGCTCTGCACCCACGGCCTCTAAATTGATACAGCCCAACTAGCGACGTCGTCCCCATGCGAGGCCAGGCCAACCTCGATCGGCAAAGACAGGGGCAGTTCCCAAAAAGCAGCTGGCCCTGTACAATACAAATCATCAGTTGTCTCCGTAAGTACGAAGTAGTACGGAGTACCATCAAGTCGGCAGGCAGTGGAGTCCTTTGGTATCCCCATACAATAGGCGATGTTGGCAGTCCGCCGGGCTGGACCGATGTGTGGCATATCCATCCATGTCTCCAACAGCAGGGATGCCAGAGAATACACTACCGGAGGGCCGACAGATAGTAACTTAGTAGCAGTTTTTTATGGATTGGTCCTAACCTGCCGGGCTGCCCGCCACTCAACCATTTGAGCGCTCATGATCGCTAGCTCAGGTACAAGCGTATGCGCCAAGTTGCGCCACACATTTCTACCTTACGAGTGTGACATCCTTTCCGGAAAGGAGGGTTTTATTAGCGACTCGAAAGGCGACCAAAGGATGCCTTGGTGGTGTGGTGTGACTGGACAACGATTGCTGGTATCGTCACAGCCTCGCAGAGAGCGATGCAATGGCGTCAACAGTTCCCGCAAGATGGGCATCAAACACATTAATAAACACGTCGCCTGCTTCACACATGTGTTGCAGAGTAACAATATGGCAGATAGTATGGTTGTTCCATGTCTGTCTCAGTTAGCAAATCCCCGCGACGCAGTCGGATCTTCTCGTTTCAATCATCACGGTCTACGGAGTAGTAGTGAAGCAGCAACGACAGATTCCCCTCCTGCTCCATTTATATGCACGGAGTACAACGCGGAGTACATTTACGGAGTGTGGCCTGGTTATGGAGCATCATGCATCTGAGTTCTCTTGGATTAGCCGTTTGAAGTCTCCGAATCCGGACTCATAGGCACTCAATTGCCAGTTGGCTCGGGGCTAGCAAATCCAGATGTGACGGCACGTACTCCATTGCGCACGACTCGAGAAGAGCATCGCCAATCTCGACCCGGTACCAATGAAGGGCATTCGGGACATTTTTGCTCAGAGGTTCACTGTTAATAAAAACAAATACATCACATGAGTATGCTCTATCAACGATACAACTCTGGCCATGCAGAAGACTTATAACGGTAGAAACGGAAAAGCAAGCTCGACTATCCATCCGAGCAGTGTCTATTAGTCTGAAGACGGCTAAGACGCGTCTCGCAGGGGTCTGGTGCCGGCGTGGTAGTGCTTTCTTTTATCATGACCCTTGTCAACGTCCCTTTCATCAGGTAGCCAACAGCCCTCAATGACTCTTTGACGTTTTCGCCTCAGCCTCGACCCTGGCAATGTTATGCGTGTGGCAGATGGCCGCTCTGGCCAGATCACGGTCTGTCTACTCACGGCAGTGTCCTCCTTAATTTTTCACCAGCTGAAGCTTTTGCAGTTCCCGAACCAACAGCCTGGCCTCAGCTGCTCGCCAGTGGTTTGTTGCGGTTAGCTCTCTATGAACTTGGGGCCTGAGTGGCAACAGACATACCTCAACCAAGTAAAGGAGAAGAAGAAGAAATGAAGAAGAAGAAGGAACTAATAGAAATTGATATGGACGGCTCCGTGAGATAACGCTGGCAACTAGCAGAATGGTTCGTACGATCCAAAGCAGCTCTCCACTTACAACAGATACTTACTAGTTAGCTACATCTGCACCCCGTGCCGCTCAGTCCATGCTCTTTGCAATGCAATTATCGAGTGCTAATAGAGGAGTCGCTGCTTGCGCCTTTGCCAGATTTGTACTCCGCACGCGACAAGACTTGCTCGAAATTTGACGACACATTAAGCATGCACACCGCCGCCCCGTAAGCAAGACGGCACCTGCCCGGGCAGTTTTGGGGCTGACGTACGGAGTATTACACAGGTGAAGGCGTCCGCCTGTCCAACTCCGGCGCTTTGCATTGGAGAAACAGGAAAATTTCCACGTCCGCGAAATTAAAGAGGGACTTTCAGGCTTTGTGGGATAGGAATAGCACTCTCTTGGCTCCGTAGTGCTCCATGTGCCATCCGTTCCCATTGAGAGATGGCGACAGGCCACGGCTCGCATGCCACATCCCTGCTCATAGAACCATCCGAGATACGACTCCTGGTCCCCCGTCCGGCTTCCCGATCGAATTGACTTCATGGATGCGCTTGACAACCCGGAAGTCCCGCGCAACCAGGCTCAGGACGCTGTTGGTGGCTTCTCTACGGAACACCTATCAACGGCAACGCGTTGTTAAATTAAAATGACCCACTTGAGAACGCGCTACGAGACGATCCCACGCTAGATGTCCTTCAGCTCGACTCGTCGCGATCGACGATGGTGGTCGACGGCATGGTAACTTACGGCCAACGCATATAGTCTTGCACAATACGGGATACCTGAACCTACGAGGTTTTGATCCGAGAGATGTCGCATCGGCCTCGCCGTGGCTGTGTACCTCGAATCGCTATTATCGTCGTCTGTACGGAGTATTTCGCTGACGGGTTGTCGTGCATGTGTGCTTTTGTCATACGCACGAAAACAACTCTTGGCCGCACAAGCAATCAAGTGATGCGGTATAGATGTGCCCCAGCAGCTAATGATTTCAGTGCCATGCTCTAGGCTACGACTGTGTTACAAACCGCATGATAGAGTTTGAGCTACCTGCTCCATACTGAGAACTCGGAGTGACTCGAAGAAGGCACACAACCGTTGTCAGCGTCCCGAATACCCCGATTGAGGCTGGCAATAATTTCCAGCCCGCCGGGAGGTTCCATTAGAGTGAACTTTTGTTGCCAGCCAATGTGGTTTGACATCGCCCACCTGTGCTTGAGTACCTAGGTAGCTACCCAGCACCATCCCAAGCCCTTCGTCATGCGAGCTGTCCAAGTCATTTGGGACCCAGGGGGCACAGAGCTTGCCGAGAGGAATTTCTATCCGAACTTCAAACCCCCTCCGCGAGGAAAGAGAAATTATGAGGATCCTTGGTGCCCGAACCTCATCTGGTTAGCACATCGCAGTGCGTTCAATACTCGTGCGCCCGCACTCGACTCTACCTTGGACGCCAGCCAGGCAAATCGCAAGGCCACCTTTTCTAGCAATATGCAATGCGTGTCTCGGGCAGCTGTCACGATCGTTGACGTGTTTCTTATCCTAATTTTTCTTCTTGAAGGGAAAAAAAAAATGACTCCATATTGTCGTCAACCTGGGCGTCGTTGTTCGTGGCCGGCTGCACGAGCTCCACGTGCGTCATTGCACAAAGGATCAAGTCTGTGATCACGGCAGGCGTTCAATTGTCGGGCAAGTGGTGGTCTTCAGCGAAGGACCAGGTTGGCTCGGATCGACACCGTGATAATGCAAGTCTAGAACAGAACACAGAAGAGAACTCTGCATATGCCGGTGCTCCATACAATGCGTATACTTGGCATATTATACGGACAACGTAGCTACGATATGTCACAAAAGACGTGGCGAGTCTCGGCGACTAAGTGTGCAGCATATACGCCGTGGTCTCAGGCAAAATATGGCTTTTTTTTTGGCCCGGGGCCAAGTACGCAGTATACGTCGATAATGGGCATGCTCCGTACGTATCCTAGCATCACATATTATTATGCAGGCGACGAAATGCAGGGGCCCCAAATACGCCACATTATCACAAGAACCACAGCCTGTGCTTCTCAGGGTAGCTTTCTTCAACCAGCGGGGCAATTTCAGTGACCCTTCTGAGTCATTAGCAAGTCACTGACATAGGTCACGAGGGGTTGGGCAATCAGCATAATTACATTTTTATCATTCATTTGAATGGGCCGATTCTCGGAATGTCTTAGCCTTGGAGAAGACACGCGAGATTACTGATGAAGACGACGAATTAGAAGGTGTATTTCTTGTTTATAACGCTTTGGCGCCAAGTCGTCAGTACGACGTAAGACGTTGAAAAATTTCCTCATTCTCCCTGAAGTAAAACACTCCGTCACTCCGTCACTCTGATATCGTTTCCGGTGGTATCATGATTTGCTCTCCCAACAATGTCGCATGTACACAGTGGTCTGCGGGGATAATATAATTCGCCAATAAAACAGAAAGTCACAAAGAAAGAAGAAAGGGAAAAAGGGAAAAGCAACACGCTAGAAACCCTGATCATGTGTGTAGGCGGGCAATATGCCATGTCATTTAGGCCCTTTAGGCCAGGCCCAATGGGTGAATGAAAGTGAGCACTTTTCATCTCTTCATAACACGAGGCGGTACTCTGTCCCCGTTATATCTGGGTGGCAACTGTTTGGCGCTCCTCGGCGTGCGGCCTGGTTTCCCGGCAGTGGGAGCCTTTTTGTTAAGATTAATTAGAGCGATGAGAGCGCGGAGTGGTAGTGTGATGACTTGGAGAATGGCGTTAAAGGGGAACAGGACGATGGCAACAAGCCAATCGACTGTTCGGGCCAGGACACTCTTGGAGCTGCTGTTCTTGGCTGCCACTGCGGCAAGGGCAATTGCATCGTCCATTCGTGAATCGAGCGCCTGGAATCGAGAATCCGTCTGGTACTGAAGCATGGTTGCCTTCTTTTCATATCTACGGACTGCTCGGTTGAGCGCGTCGAGTTCCGGTTGGATGGCGTTGCGCACATCCCGGACCATACTGGCCTTTTCTTCTGCCTGCACGGGGTCGAGTCCGCCGCTCTGCTGTCGAACAAATTCGTCGGCCAGGGATCGCGCCTCCAGTCTGCTGAGTCGCTCAATCATGTCTTGGATCTGTGCGCCTGTCTGGGTAGGCGAGGGAAAAGGGTTCCCGTGAACGATTCTTTGCAGGTGAAGAGTTCTCGACTGTACGAGCTTGAGCGCATGCGAAAAGGCCCGCAGCTCAGAAATAAGGAGGAAGATGGTGAGGTTATAGTTTGAGACGAGTCCTTCGGATGGTCGGCTGAGTTGTGCCCTGATGTAGTGGAGTAAATATGCGCTCAGAGGGGGGAAGAGAAAGCACGAAAAGAGGGCCAGCAGCTCGTGCATGTATAGTTCTCGAAGAGCTGCTTGCTGTTGCGGGGTTGTGCCGCCGTCTTTTCCCCTTTTACTTTGTGCTGCCGTCGTCGGGCCGTTTTGCTTTGGTGTTTCCTCTTCTTCAGGGACAATGTCCAGATTGGTAGTCTTACTAGTGGCGTCGGCAGAAGCGCGATGACGATCGTCGTCATCTGCCTCCACGGCGGTTTTGGTAGGTGCCTCTTGGTGTATGCGAACTTGTTGCGCTGCATGATACCAGGCCCTGACAAGAGAACAATATAGTCAGCACTTGTAGTTACGTCCAAGTTGAGCCAGATGAACCCCCGCCGTTCACCAATGGGCCCAGGTTTGTGCTCATGACGTACCATGGCTGCGTCACGGACCAGTGAAGGAACACACCCGACAAGCCCAACAACATGACGTCTGTGATGACGGAGTGGCCATTTTTAAACAAGGCCCCCGCGATGGCTGGCACCAAAGCAAAGGCCAGCGATAGCGGCGCCAGCGATGACGATTCTGGACTCGACAGTTCTTGACTGGTTTGGGCTCTGGGGTTGAGTATATCGCGAGCCTCGCCGAGGCTGTAGTCGGAGAAGTTGGAGCTCCGACGGGGTAGGCCTGGGGACATGCCGTCAAAGGACGCCTCGGATCGACCGTTATGAGACTTTTGTCGCAACGACGGGCCGTCGTCCATGGTCTTGGCACGGCGGATGGCCTGCCCGGGAGGGACATTGCTGGCATTGATGTCCGTGGCCAACGCTGTCGACTTGGTGGTGATGTTGCCGTTGGAAGCGGCTGCGGGTCGTTTGGGCGCCGGCGACGTCGGCCGATTGTCGTCGAGCATTGTCGCGCTCGTCTCTGACTTCTTCGTGTAAAGGAGGGAGTAGGCGGTGGCAGGAACATGGGCCGGGGCGAAAAGGAAGAGACACGAGGTCTCAACTATCCCAAGGGCTGAACGAAGGGAGAGGGAGCGGACGGATGTTGTACAGTCAGCCCGCGTCGGCGCCGGGGCTGACTTGGTTGACGTCTTTGAATTGTCAAGTCAACATTTCTTGTAGAGTGCCGACCCGACCTAATAGGCAAGGTCGACTGGCGCGTGTCCCAGAACGGCAAATGGACTTGACATCTGGACGTTTGGACATCTGGACCCAGCCCCCGCCGCGCTCCCGTGCTCCAGTGCTCCGCTTGACAACAGCCAGCCACAGCCAGCCGAGCTCGCTAACTGCTTCGGCGCCTGCTTGCCGGCCTGCCGAGCGTTGTAGAATCTGGGGTAGATGCGTCGTCCCTTCCCTTTTCGTTACTCGTCGGGATGGCAGAGGAAGCCACAGCATCACCTATACGGAAGGAGGAGCTGCTAGTACTGGACATTTGAGACGAGAGTTTGCGTGGGAATGGCGGGGAGTTGTCTCCAAACACTCAAGTGCCAATTCACTTTGCCCGACGACGAGACAATCCAACAGTAAAGCATGTGCTGCTGGTCCCAACCTCAGGTGGCTTGGGATTAGGACGGGAGCAGGGCATCTGGAACCAGCAGACAGCTGCCAAGCAACTTCTGAGACGGCATCTTCGTCCCGGTCGGCGATCTTGAAGCTGCACGGAGTATCTGCAAGTAATATTTCATGGTAGTACAACTGCTACCCTATAATTTGTGTGGATCAAGTTGGGCATTCAGTTCCCTCTCATAACATGACTGTTTATTCAGACTAATGGCGTTGGTGCATGAAATACATCACGCCGGGCTATAGCGTCGTTTTTCCCCCTACACCCTCATCCCGTCTGATCGGATCAATCCGTACCAAGGGGGCTTGGCGCCGTCAGACTTGTCGTGACGCACGCCAAACCGTCAAACTGAAAACAGAAACCGGGACGCTGTACGCCCGGCATAGACCAAGGCAGAGCACGGGGTCAAGAGAGGGAGGAGAAAACAACAAGGAGAAAACAAGGACACAAATCAAAGTTATTGGTACAGTGGTACTCCCGATTTTTGCCATTCATTGGGCCGCTCCGTGCATGCTCGCACCAGGAACCCCGGTCATGACGGCAGCAGAAACAAACTCGAACCACAATTTGCAAGATGGCCTCAGTACACAGACGTCTTTTTTCTTGCCTCTGAAATTGGCCTTGTTGGATTCGCCTTGTTCAATTGGCCCAGGTCATGCGGGTCACGGAGCTTGTTCAATTTTGAACCAGCTGAATAGTACTCACGTCACCAACTGTCAAGGCCCTGTTGGGAAAGAACCGAACAATTTGCACTGGTGGCCATGTTGCCAAATCGTCGCGACGGGGCCATTAGGGGCTTGGAAGGGGGTGCCGTGGTTGAAATGCTGGACAATGCCCATGATTCAAAATCTCACCCAACGCCCACTATTAGCTAGCGTTTTTATTTTTATTTTTATTTTTTATTTTCACTGTTTAGACTGGCAACCTTCTCTTCCTTGGCCATACTTGTGCTCTTTGCTGCTGGACCGTTGCGAGTGGAAGGACGAGTTCGTCGAGCGAGCAATTCGATGCTGGTTGTCCCCGTGGATGCAACCATTACTATTCCTGATCCCATCCAGGCCCTGGCATATATTGAGCCATTATAGGCCTGGCCTTTTTCTCTCTTTCGAACCGCCCTCGCATTGTCTCACCACACACACTCTCTCCATGACATTGCCCTCAGGTTCGCACTGAGACTTGGAACTGAGATTTGGCGCTGATGCTGGCGTTGGCGCGCGGGGCCCGAAGCCTGAAGCCTCAAGTGCTGAGTCAGAACATTGAAGCCTGCGACGCGCGGCATTGACGCTGTTGTGGCACTGAGCGGAGCGGTCCACAGCGGTCGAGTCCACAGCGGTAGTGGGAGCGGCAGCGGTGGCAGCGGTGACAACAGCAGTGGCCGCGGTGGCCCGGGGCCCGTCTGGCACGCCTCAAGCGCTGTCGATACTCCCTCCTCCGTATGTCCCCCGTGTTCTGGCCGTTCTGGCGGCGAAAACCTCGTTCCCAGCTCCCGGACGAACACACCACCGCCAACACCACTATCCCAATTGGCCCTCTCGACACTTCTGCCGCATCAACACATCCGCCTCGCGAGCCTCACGCCCAGACACTGCTGGGCCCGGACCCAGCCAGCCAAACCAGCCAGGGCGTCGACGTGCGTGGAGACGCAGCCCAAGCACCACCGCCAGCACCACCGCTAGCACCACCTTCTCCCATTGCCGCAACCACCAGCGGCTCCAGGCCAGCGCCTTCCCTCATCACCCCTGAGCGCCCTGAGCACCGCCGTCCTCGCGGCCGTGCCGATCCAGACTCTCTCACGACGCCGATCCCATTCCCGCCATCTTCCTCCCCAACACAGACGCCCGCCCGAGACAAGCCGGCCAACCGTCGCCTAAAGGCTCATTCCCAGCAACCTGCCTATCCTCTGGCTTCACTCGACCACGCCGCAGAGCCTGCTGCTGCAGCCGTGGCAGCCTTGAACCCGCCGCAACCCTCCGTGCATGGCCAGGTTTACAAGTCGAGCCTCATACAGTCCCCGTTTCGCCCTCGCACCAGGGCGACAACCGACCCTGCTCACCGACTTCGACGGCTTCCTGCGGCGCGCCTCTGGAATCCGACCAACTCTACGCCCCGACTTCCCCCGCCCCAAAAGCGTCGACCGTCGTCACCGCCCTTTCCCGCATTGCCTCTGAAGCACCCTGCGCTCGACAGATCCCTGGATATACGTGACCCCGTCACCACCGGTGCTGGCGATTACCCGCTCCTGACCTTATCCGAACAACGGCGGTCGAGGTATTCACAGTCTACGCCCCTGGGTTTTCAACTTGAGCTCGGCGGAACGAGCGATCACAGAATTAGTCTTCCGCGGTCCGTTCGAGCATCGTATGAGGGAAAACGTTCCGTGCACCGCACATCAACGCATTTGGGAGCAACAGCGGAACAAGGCCACGACCAACACATCGAAGAAGCTTCTGTTGCTTATCCTTCAGCAAAAAGTAAAGGCAAGCAGAAGGCAACCATGGCGCCAGAGAGTGAGGATGCGAGGAGGCCATACTCCAAGGATCTCGAGCGGGGTCCGGATGTTATGGACCATCGGGCCTCTAATATTTCGGCCGGGGAAGGCATTGGATCTGCCCTCTCTTCGTCCAACTCGTCAATTATGGGAGAGGATGTGCAACCAGACGCCGGTGAGGAATGGGGGCCTCAGCATCCATGCTTCCCTCATCTGAACCCGCATGTTCCTCTCGACTCGGTCGAATACGCGACTACGCGAATAATTCGTGTCAAGAGAGATTGGCTTGTGGCTGGTGACCTGGCTCCGACGTTTTCCAACCTATACCCTGAAATCCTGGACCCAGCAGGTGTTTCCGAGCAAGAGTTTAGACGGGTCATTGAAAAGCTGAATGGAGAGCTGATACCTGTATTTGACCCCTTCACGTTTCGGAACGTGCTCGATAGCGTCCTTGGACTCGTGACTGGCTGGTTGTGGGATGACTTTGGTCTGACGGCTGCCAAATCACGGCTGAATAATCTCGAGAAGTGGATTGAGAGGTGGAATCAAGAGATGGAGAAGACCATGGCATCCGAGGAGGGCATTATTCCACCAAAGTTGATTCCGCTTCGACAAACAGGGTACATGACTGTGAGTGTGGAACATGCCGTTATGAGTCCCCAGCTATTATTTTCTGACAACTTGTTCTAGCTTGACATACAGATACCGGATCCCGAGATTGCTCCAGCACCAAGTACTATCGGCGCGGGCGAGTCGCGGACTGCCTTACCGATGGAGCCGGCTCCTGCTATCACCGCTTGATGGCCCGGGCTGTAGACATAATTGACGTGAGCGCTACCGGAGAGATCACCACTGGCACATTGCCCGCCGTCCCCGGTTTATCAATGCCAAACGAGGACAAGAGCTTTGGGGCCGCACAGCCCCCGATAAATTAGAAGGGGATTATTTGATTTTTTTAGTTGGCGAACTGCATATAATTTGTTTGTTTGTAGAATATTGATACCACCAGCATGTACGAATATTAGCAAGGCGCTGCTGAGAGGGACAGGTGATGTTAAAATCTTTATATATGTATATCTGTAAATGGTTGTCACATGGCAAAGTTGGCCCTTAGCATGGTTTATTGACGACGTTTGATACGTCGACAAATTTGATTGGCCATGGAAGCCAAGCCTGCAAATCTCATCTTGAGCGCAGGGAAGCTTTAAAAAAGAACGCTGAAAGATGTGACATCAAATACCATTCGTTTTGCATAAGCCCGACGTTGAGCATGGGAAGAAACAAGAAGACACGGTCATTGTCCCGCTTCCGCGTCGGCGTCACAACTGAATGGCACAGCGACGGTGCGGCTGTATTGGAAAACGCACAACCGACGTCCAGAGCTGTCCAAATACCACCTTGTGCAGTCCTATGACCACTTTTCCCTGCGGGCTTGACTGTGTTTCTGGCACGCGTCTGGACCACGAATGGCAACAACACAGCGACGGAAATGATAACCAGCGGGCATAACGTCTTCCCAAACAGGAAGTCGGAATGTTCACCTTGGTTAGATCCGCTCTTAAACCCGTGCCTCTCAAACGACATCGGAGCCCATGTTGCTCGCTAAACTAGTTGTAGTTGGGGGCATTGTTTTCCAATAAATCGGCATGACGTGCCTCTTGCAGTCTTTAACGCATGGCCCGTCTCTTACATTATTACCCTTTTCCTTCCCTTCCTCCCGCCTTGCCAGCGGAGGATGAATTATGGTTGAAGTAGACCGGGGTCCCGCCGCCGGCGAGGCGGCATCACAGATACGGGAGCCTGGGAAGGCTGTGAGGTGGGCGAAGAAGGCAGTTCGGTTTGTCTTGGCGCAGTGGTTGCTGGTCGGGTTTGGGGTGGCGTGTGTTGTTGGGTATTATTTCCCCGGTGAGCTCGCACCCGGTTGAAATGAATGGGGACAGAAACTGATTGCGGCGTGGCGAGTAGGTGTTGCTGCTCATGGGGGGGTCATCAAGTCCGAGTATAGTGTTTTATATGGTGCCGTGGCCTTCATTTTCTTGGCGAGTGGACTGCAGTTGCCGCCGTCCAAATTGCAGGCCAATGCGACGAACTGGAGGCTGCACGTCCTTGTCCAGGGGATAAGTTTTGTCGTAATTCCTTGTATTGTGCTTGGTATGGGCATCTTCGTCTTGCCACACCCTCCATCTATTCTGCCTGGGAATCTTGGGCTGACCCCGCAAAACAGCTGTTATTCACGTCTCCCTCGCAGCGGGAGCCCTTCAAAGCGGCACTCCGTCCATCTCCGTCATCGTCGGCATGCTTACCACCGCGTGTATCCCCACGACTATCGCCTCCAACGTTGTCATGACACGCTCGGCGGGTGGTGACGAGACTGCCGCCGTTATCGAGGTCGTCCTGGGCAATGTCGTTGGCTCGTTCCTGTCGCCGATTCTAATTTATGGATTCATGCCCCGAGGAGAGGAATTCGCCTCTTGGGCACCGGCGAACCCTGCGTCTTTGGGGCGCATGTATGCCGACGTGGCGAAGCAACTGTGTCTGAGTGTGGTGTTGCCGCTGGTAGTTGGACAGGCGATCCGGTGGTGGAAGGAGGATGGAACAAAGAAGGCATTGGATGTCTTGAAGCTGGGCAAGATTTCGGGACTTTGTCTCGTATTATTGGTGTGGTGAGCTATGTCGTTTTTTTGCCCCTTCATCGTCTCGCCAGATCCAAACAAGCAGCAATGGCTTACACCGAAGCCAGGGCGACATTCTCGGGAGCTTTCCAAACCGGCGCTTTATTTAAAATACCCAAGCCATCCCTTCTGTTCAGCATATTTATGAATATAGCGCTTTACCTCATCTACACAGCGATATGCTTCTTCTCCGCGCGGCCGCCTGCTTTCTTGGCGGAATGGATAAACCCGCTGCTTGCGGAGTCTAAAAATGCAGGACGACTGCCGCGCATGCTTCGTCGCGCTCTTATGATTCGCAAAATTCCGCGGGAGCAGATGATTGCGGTGTGTTTCTGTGGCGCGGCCAAGACGACGAGCTTGGGCATTCCATTGGTGACGGCGATGTGGAATGCTTCGGATGACTTGACGAGGGCCTATATTCAGATTCCTGTTTTGCTGTATACTATAGAGCAGGTATGGTGCTGGACCTTTTTATTCTTCTTTCTGATCATCTCTCCTGGTTCGTATATGCGGGAAGGGTGCTAACATTTGCCAGGTTTTCATGGCGCAGATTCTAGTTTATGTTTTTAAGTGGTATATGAGGCGGGAGGCGAAGGAAGAGGGTTAGAGTAGTGATGTGGAGCATTGGCATCTCAGCGGTTGTGAAGGTGAGGTTTTGTATGATTCTTATGAAGTAATGACGATTGGCGATAGCATGTTGCACGTCACAAGTTGCCGGACATCTGCACATGATGTACTCCGTAGTGAGGAAATTAAAAGAATAGAATAATATTAGACTCCGTAAATGCGCTAAAAACAGCCACACAGTGGCAGGGAAGAAGCATTTTTTTGTTCGCCAGGGACCATAAACATTATCATGGCTTGGCATTCATAAACTTACCTCAAAGATATCGGATGAGTTGTGTTTGTCGTACAGTGTCTGATAATCTAGATGGCTTTAAAAGCACTGTACATCGGGCGCCGGCATTCGTGTTAATCCGCCCACGGACCACCATGAGGGTAGCTCCAGCTAGTCACTCCGCCCGCCAACAGGCATCGTGGGTAGGCTGCCAGTCTGACGAAGCTCCCTCTGAACCTACTACATCCTCACTGCTGTGGACATCTCACTGCACTCAACACAACATCTTCTTTAGTCGGTCTCGCATCGATTTTTTGCATCTGCAATACGGGGTGCACAGTAATATTGCAAAAACGCGACAATTGACCCGACCTTGCAACGATGGCTTCCGGTTACGACAGAGCTCTCTCTGGTATGTTTGTTCACCGGCCATGGCCTCACCTGTTAACTCGGCTAACCCTCGTCTCCGTTCCTAGTCTTCAGGTTCGAATCACTCACCAACTGTACAAGCTATCATTGTTATCTAATACTGTAATAGTCCGGACGGACACGTGTTCCAGGTCGAATATGCCGGTGAAGCTGTCAAGCGAGGTGCGTTGGGATAACAACGGGAGCCAGAGTCGCTCGTTGCAGGTTTCGCGATAACTGACCTTTCGGAACAGGAACCTGTGCTGTTGGCGTCAAAGGAAAGGATGTGGTTGTCCTTGGATGCGAGAAGCGATCAGCCATGAAGCTGCAAGACACTCGGATTACCCCTTCCAAGATTCAGCTCTTGGACACCCACACTGCCCTGGCCTTTGCCGGCCTGAACGCCGATGCCCGAATCCTCGTTGACAAGGCTCGGTTAGAAGCCCAGTCTCACCGTCTGTCTGTAGAGGATCCCGTCACCATCGACTACATTACCAAGTATGTGGCGGGGGTGCAGCAGCGATACACTCAGGCTGGTGGTGTGCGGCCGTTCGGCATCAGCACGCTCGTTGTTGGTTTTGACCCGGGAAGCAAGGTCCCCAGACTGTATCAGACTGAGCCATCTGGTATTTACTCAGCATGGTACGCCCCCTGAATCCTGGCAACAATGCTATGACGTGAATATGATTTTACTCACCATTTGGTACAGGAAGGCGAATGCCATCGGCCGATCGAGCAAGACGGTTCGTGAGTTTCTCGAACGCAACTACAAAGATGATATGGACCGGGAGGCTACCATTCGGTTGGCGATAAAATCTCTTCTTGAGGTGGTGCAGACTGGCGCGAAGAACATTGAAATTGCTCTCATGACCCCTGGCGCTACCATGGAGATCTTGCCGACTGACGAGATCGAGGGCTACGTGAAGGAGATTGAGCAGGAGAAGCAGGAGGAGGCTGCCAAGAAGAAGACGGGACGGACACCTGGAACAGGCAGTGCCGCGATTCTTACAAGAGGACAGGACGATTCTGCTGCTGAATAATGACAAACGTATCAAGACATCTAAACATGTGTAGAAGAAAGAGCTATCTGCTAGCGGCATTGCTATAGTTGACGCAACGCCATTGTATTAACATCTGCCCCGTCTGATGAAATTGCCCTCCATCATCGTCTAGGTTTGTCATGGACAAAAATCTACGTGAAATAACCCAACCTAACCAACGCCGGAACTTTTGCTCACCGCTTGAAACCCACATAATGTCATTGTAAAAGATGAAAGAGCTCTCAATCCGGCTAGCCTAGCCTAGCCCAGCCTGTCTGCATCCTCATCCGGGTCGAACATGGTTCGGTAATCCTTTTGTCTGACGCGCTCGTCCTTGAGCATCTTGTTGTTGACTCTCACGTCTCCGCTCTCCACAGAGAGTGCAGCCTTGGGGGTTTTGGCGTCGATGACAAAGTGATTATCGCAATGCGGACAGTACTCATCGCTCTCTTCGAACTCCTGCGTGTCTTTGCGGAAGCACTTCTTGCACTTCTTACAGGCGAAGACCATTTCGAAACTCTGGAGGAGGGGGTGTTTTTCTTGCTCGCGGTGGCACTCGGCGCAGTCAAACCATTTACGGCCTAGGCGTTACATGAGTCAGCTGGCTTGTTTTTGGAGTTTGCAGGAAATCGGCTCGGAAGACAGGCCCGGGCAAAGGAGACGTACAGCATGGCGATCGGATCGAGACTTGGGCGTTGAGGATGTGTTTACTGGCTGGGGTTAGTGGACAGGCTGGACTGGACTGGACTGGACTGGGGTGACGGCTTGCGCTGCTGACCACATGATTATTGGCCGTGTAAGCCTTGCTTCTGGAGGAGTATGTAGTACGTGTTGAGCTGTGTGTTGGTGAGACTGGAGGTTGATGTGGGATGGTTGCTGAATAAACCTATTTTCCGCGGGGCTCGTTGGCGGAGGATATGGTTATGAAGTACGGAGTACAAGTGGGTGCTTATGCATACCCGAAATCACCAGTAGTTTGATGAGGTGTATTCTTACAAATGTGTCGATAAAATGTCAGAGTAGAGGCAGATATTGATATTGTATTTCTATTTATTTACGTACCGGCTATTTGAGGAGAGTCAGGTCAGAGATTTTCTCGAGATGGAACAGGTCGGGTTGGGTGAGCGACTACATAAGCTTAGCAAGCCTGAGCCGGACAACTGAATGACCCTAGTAGAAGCTTCTTTCTGCCTTAACGAGTTGGGGTGGCGCATCGGTACGTACCTCCGACAACCAACCACGGGTCACCGTATTATATCTTACATTGGTTCACCATCGACAAACTTCTCTCTTGCCGTTCACCGACGCTCGCCTCCTCCCACGAGCTGTCGCAGCAATCCATAAAGTATGCCACCAAAGAGAAAGGCAGAGGCAGCCGTGCAGGGCGGGTCGAAGGCAGGGAGGTCTTCGCGCGTGTCGACGCCTGGTGCAGCTACGCCTCGCAGCCTCGAGAGCACTGATGACGTGCAGGAAGACGACGGGCCCGTCGACGAGGTTCTCGAGCGTGACATCGACAAAAACATCGATTTTTTCTCCCTAGATCGCTTTCAGAAGAGACACGTCGTTCGGGAGCCGCTTCCGCACATTTTTGGTGACCGCGACTTCTCGTACCTGGACCTCAAGAAGGATCACCAGAACCGCCCGCTTTGGATTGATCCGCAAAAGGGCAGGATCATTCTGGAGAGCTTCAATCCCTTGGCAGAACAAGCGCAGGACTTCCTAATCACCATTGCCGAACCGCTCTCTCGGCCGACCTTTATGCACGAGTATGCCCTAACGACACACAGTCTGTACGCCGCCGTCTCCGTCGGCCTCTCTCCCACCGACATCATCAATACCTTGGAGCGTTTCCTGAAGACGCCTCTCCCTGATGAAATCCGATCATTTATTACGAGTTGCACACAGAGTTATGGAAAAGTGAAGCTTGTGTTGAAGAATACCAAGTACTACGTGGAAAGTCCAGACCCAGAGATGCTGCAAATGCTGCTCAAAAATCCTATTATCGGACCGCTCCGCGTCCAGGGCACAGAAGAGATTACTACCTCGGCCGCTCCCAAGATTGGTGGTTTGGTTATTCCTGGTACCAAGAACGCTGCTGGTGTTAAGCAGGCAAATGGGTTGTCCCAGGGTGCTGAACAGCAGAACGAGCAGGCCGTCAACGAAGGCGATGTCTTGGCCACCCTCAACGAAGACGACGACGATGACCAAGAGGTCACGCACTCCTTCGAGATTGCTGACAAGGACGTAGAAACTGTCCAGAAGGAGTGTCTGAACCTTGGATACCCCGTGCTAGAGGAGTACGATTTTCGTAGAGATGAGGTCAACTCAAACCTGGAGATTGACCTGAAGCCCGGCACCCAAATTCGGCCGTACCAAGAAAAGAGTCTCAGTAAGATGTTTGGCAATGGTCGAGCCAAGAGTGGGTTGATTGTCTTGCCTTGTGGTGCCGGTAAAACGCTCGTGGGCATCACGGCTGCTTGTACTATCAAGAAGGGCGTTATTGTGCTTTGCACCAGTTCCATGTCGGTCGTACAATGGAGAAACGAATTTCTGAAGTGGTCAAACATCAATCCAGACGACATTGTTGCTTTTACATCGGACTCGAAAGGATCCGTCTTCACCGGCAGCACTGGCATCATTGTTACAACCTACTCCATGGTGACACAATCGCGGGCTCGCTCATACGACGCCGATAAGATGATGAAGTTC